ATAATAATCGAGTCTGGACCAGACTGGAATATTGCTGAGTGCGGCCTCAAACAACCCAACCAACCAACCTCACCTTTTGGAGATTGCCTGATAAGAAAAGACATTCCGAGTGTCACTTTCCAGGTATTGGTTCGATTGAAAAGTCGTTTAGAAGTGAGCCATTAAGGCATATCCCCAGGTTTTTTGTTCAGAGGGCTAGAGTGGGTGAACATATGATTTTAAAAAGATTGTCATTCAGTAAGATAGCGAAATCAAACAAATCAAAATTGTATACATTCCTCATACTTTTACAATAAGATATCGGTATGATTGCAATTGATTGATTTTCGGATTGATCGATTAGGGTTTGATCAGGGTGTAGATCTCCACTATTCGTAAATGTGTTGATAGGGATATTGTTGTATCCCCCAACGATACACAACACTGCTTCTTAATACATGTAAGGTGTGTACCTAGTGTGTCATACAGACCCTGAAGGAAAAAGACTCTCAGACACTAGAATTGCAACCGGAAGAGGTTCTGAGTTGTGTCCCTTCACCAAGGATTCTCAACGCACATGTCCAGTTTCACTTACTGCCAGCAGAAGTGCGGAAGAAGAAAACTAAGATTATCTATTTGATGCGAGACCCCAGGGACGTCCTAGTGTCAAAATTTGTTCTAACCACTCGAGCGAAAGGTACAATGATGGGATTTGATGAATATCTGATAGCTGCGGCTGAAGGAAAGGGTTTGTTTATTTGTTTGTTTGTTTATTTGTTTCTTTGTTTTTTTTAAGGCCACACTCAGTATTCCAACTTATGAAGGCGATCTGTGAATAATTAAGTCTGGACCAGAAATCCAGTGATCAACATCATGAGCATCTATCTACGCATATGAGATACGATGACATGTGCCATCCAAGTGAGCGAGCCTGACCAACCAATCCCATTAGTCGCCTTTTTCAACAAGCATGGGTTGCTGAAGACGAATCTGAAGGCAAAATATAGTACCCTCATATCAGTTTCTTTCCATGACAGCTCTCACAAGAAATGAGGATATAGCGGTTTGTTAAAAAAATATATAAGCATCAAAATAGATGCTAAAACTTGAAAGGCTTATTTGTTTTTGATTTTGCTCAGTGTAACTATTCACTAAATAGAGAAAGAAACAACAGTAAAAAGGAAATTCAAAGTACAAAATATTACAGTGGTCATATCCTATTCTGTCATTGTGGAGCCTTACTAGGTCTTTCAAAGCCTTTCAAAATGTCCCACTAGACCACGGGACCAGCGAGTGGGCAATAACTAGTGGTCCTGTCTGTACTTCACTGGTCTGAAATAGACCACGGGACCAGCGAGTGGGCAATTACTAGTGGTCCTGTCTGTACTTCACTGGTCTGAAATTATAACATTCGTAGATTTACTTTAAAAATTCACTGGCCACCAGGACCACTGCAAACTTATCATTTATTTGTCCTGATGAATTTTTACTAGCCAGGGACCACAGGACCAGCACGAATATCGCACACTGAGTTATACAGAAGGATATTTGTATCAGTCTTACTTAGATCCACGTCTCAGTGCTCGCTTATGCTATAAGTAGGGACTGGTCATAATTTATGGCTAGGGGGTGATGCTGATTTTTATGGAGAAGCATGTACAATGTGAATGACCCCCCTAAAATTTATGTACAAAATAAGTGACCCCCCCTGCATGCCATGTACAAAATCAATGACACCCCCCCCTCCTTCCCATAATTTCTAAGCATAATTTTAAAACATATTTTCATGTACGAAATTGCTGACCCCGTACGTGTGTACAAAATTGATATACCCCTAGCTCCCCAGAACAAAATGGGTGACCCCCCCTTAAAATCATCTTCCTCCCCCAAAAAAATAAATAAATAAAATAATAAAATAAATAAAAATAACAAAAATTAATAAAATAAAATAAAATAAAATTATGAACGATCCCTTAGATCCGTAAAACATGTCGTGTAGGTAGGTCTCTTCAGAGCAACTTTACCTTTAATCAAAAATCGACAGAGGCCAATCAGAGAACAACTCTTCTCTTGCTTTGTGGCACGTGTTTCAAACTAGTCCACTCTAGACAACGCTTTGAAATTTGAAAATTGAACAAACGGACCTGTGAACTGGCAGGTTTGATTTTCAGTACTTCCAGCTGGCTGTGGAAAGTCTCTTCCATTCCAAATGTTTATTCCGTTGAAGCGTGAGGTAGACGATGATTTCAGTTCGGAATACCTCGTACTTTTCAAGTTTACATGATCAGAAAGCACATTCCGAATGTCACTTTCCCGATTTTCGTCGGATGAAAAGTCGTTGAGAAGTGAGCCATTAAGGCATATCCCCAGATTTTGATCCCCATGCAACGACCAATACTAGATTTTCAGATGACATAGAATCTAGCAGACGACAAGGAAACAAATTTAGGGTTATCTCCCCTAAAACACCGGTAATTTCCGTACATCATACGTGACTCAATTATTCGAGAAAAAGAATTACTAACACGAATTACCAAATGAATTCCCAAAGTTCGGCACTCCCATCGGGTAACATATAACATGTTACTGGCTTGTAAATTACTGGGGCACATTGAAAATAATAGAAAAGGACTCTGTCAATCAGAAAACGACATTTATGAGTGAGATAAGATAAATATCATTTATATCCCTAACAAAAGTTGAATACTATGTGAATATACTTTTTACAATGTGTTGTAGTTGCCTGGGGCTCTTGGTTTGACGATGTTCTCTCTTTGGAGAAACTAATGAATGAGTCTGACCACCCAGTGTTGATAGTCAGATACGAGGAGACCAAACAGGTACGATGATGATGATGATGATGATGATGATGATGATGATGATGATGATGATGATGACGACAACGACGATGATGATGATGATTGCGTGATGGTGCTACTAATACCTGGTGTCAACACTGATTTTTAGCAATCAATTCATATAACTGTCACCACTATTTGCATTCCACAATTTATAAAATATGTTCCTATCTGGAAATATAAGCAAGCAAGTAAACCATTTCCTCATCAATATTGATTTCTCTTGTTATTAATTTACATTAGTCAGATTATCGATTCGAGTCAATTATCTGTGAGTGTTTGATTTATTTCAGGATCCTGTCCGTGTGATCAAAAGCATTTCGGAATTTCTAAATATAGACTGTCCGGATCAGCTTGTCCGAGACATAGCTGTACAATCCGACTTCACGAACATGAAGTCGGCAAGGGGAGATAATGCTAAGAAAAGTGATGGTGACGCCATCCACTACAGAAAAGGTAGGGTAAATTCCGTGTCGTATCCGTGTTGGTCTTAGATGGCAGCCTCATATACGTACGGCTTACTGACCATGTGTGACACTCTGGGTGGTCGCTGTACACACTGTCAGGTCTGATTGCACAGTCATCCTATACTTGTTTAATCAAAATTCGTCTAACATTATGTCACCGAGAAGATCCGGGGTTAGAATTAGGTAACACACTCGTAAGAGACGACTGAGCAGACTCGCTTTGTTGACACGTCATCGTATCCCAATTGCGTAGAACGATGCTCCTGATGTTGATCACTGGATTTTTCTGTCTGGTCCAGACTAGATTATTTACAGACCACCGCCATATGGCTGGAACATTGCTGAGTGTGGCTCATGGCCATGGCCGTGACTGATATATGTGATTTTAATTTAATTGAATATACTCATTAATACTGTGTTAACTCTCAACTGTAACTCTTTAGTTTAAGGATAAAAATAATCAATAGCGAAAATCTATCATTATTATTGCTGTTGCCAGCTCAAATGTTCAACAGTATTCCTTTATCTTTACAGGAATCACTGGTGACTGGAAGAACTGGTTCACCGGTGCCCAGACGAAATACTTCAATGACATTTACACACAGAAAATGAAGCATTCCAAGTTTTATGAATGGTACTTGTAGACTGTATTATGGTGGTGCTACGTCGGAGTTGCGGAGACGCCTTTACAAGACGCCAGCACATCCTTGACATAGAGGAAGTGCTGAGTAGCTTTATATTCTGTCCTTCATTAGGTACGTTGAACACTGATTTCAACATTATCACGAACAACTAAAAGTGGCCTTTATACATGAGTATCTCGTGTGAGTATTCGGACCCGGACCGTCAGAACGAGCACTTTCACCAGAAAGCTTTATATTGACTTCAAGAGAATTCGTTATTCATTCGTCATTGCATTTACAGTGAAAGAGAGAAATATGTATTTAATAAATACACTTTGATTCAGATAATGCATTTGTTCTCAACCCATGAAGGTCCGGGTTAGAATTGATCTTCAGTAACCCATGCTTGTCGTAAGTGCCGACTAACAAGATCGGGTGGTCAGGCTCGCTGACTTGGTTGACACAAGTCATCGTAGCCAAGTTGCGTAGATCGATGGTCATGTTGTTGTTCAGTTGATTGTCTGGGCCCCGTTTCACAAAGCTCTCGTAAGCTTAAGGTCTCGTAACTTATCTCGTACCATTCCTAGTAACATAGCAGGTACGAATGCTTCGAGAAAAGTTACGAGATCTTAGGCTTACGAGAGAGCTTTGTGAAACGGGACCCTGGTGCAGCCTCGATTATTTACAGACCGCCGCTAAATAGCTTGAATATTGCTGAGTGCTGCGTAAAACTAAATTAGTTCTCATGAACAGATAAGATAACATTGACATTATGTATTGCTGTTTTATTTATGTTGATCAAGAGGAATCACAATCAAAGAATTATATATTTTTAAGCTGATATTAATGAATATGATCTATATTTAAAAAGTCGATTCGCATTTTCATGAAAGCTTAACGGTATCCGGCTTGAAGTCGAGTCGTGGGTGCATGCCGTCGTATGGAGATCGCCCTAGCAGTCGACGTTGTGAGCGTAGTCGCAGGTTTGGATGTCGTTGTTCCATTTCATGTCGGCTGGACACTCCTGCTGGTACACGCGACCACCGTCCACGCAGATCACGAAGCTGGAGCAGTCACGGGGGGTGGCGCTGAAACATCCCCAGGGAAGGGTCACAGCTGGTGACGGGAGGGATGGGAGGTGGAGTAGCGGTGAAGCTGCAACTGTTGATGCTGGCGTCGAATATGGTACCAGGCGCGCATGGCCTGCGGACGGCGACACCATTGTCGCATTGGTAGTACCGAGTACTATCAGTAACGTGAGGGTGGAACTTGACCGCTCCAGGGGGACAGCGATCTGGAAATATTGTGTGATTTTATAGAATGGAAATTACAAACGAACATTTCAGAAGAGAAAATCAGTCACAATATATACAGTAATAATTCATAATATTATCATTTTATACATTGAGAATACGTTTACGTGTAGATATGTAAATCAGGAAAATTACAAAAATACTTAGAATACTGAGATATTTGGACCAGGATTTATCACTGAGAAATTGGTGACTTAGAGATATATGGACCACGATTTATCAATGCAATAAAGTTGACTTAGAAATATTTGGACGAGGAGATATCACTGACATATGCTGACTCAGTTGTTTATGGACCAGGATTTATCTCTGAGATATTTGGACGAGGAGACATCACTGAACATAGGCTGACGTGGGGACACATGGATCAGGACTCTTCCCTCACAGTCCGAGTACGTGGATGACGTTTTATGCGACATTTATCAATACACAATGTTACGGCGATTTAAACTGAACCGATATGGGAAGCTCAAGCCAAATTCTCACCCAGCTATCTGAATGAGTTAGTAATCTCTTGAGATAAACGAATAACGGCAGTGACGTCTACAAAACTGGTGAACTTTCGTTCTATGTAACACTTTGCTTCATTTGTCGAAAAAATGTCATTTTAACACATATCAGTGAGTAAGTGAGTTGGGTTTAAAGCCCATTTTTATAGTATTCAGGGGAAAGTCCGAAGTTGCAGGTCTCACACGCTTGGATTCGGACCCACAATCACACATGTAGATTTCTAGTGTTGCCAAGGGACGCAACTCTGCATAGCAGACTGTGGCAACATAGCCAAACTGACCACCTGTGACCCCAAGATAAAAAGCATCAAAATATATGTCAACGTAGATGTCGCTCACCGCCGCATGCGTCGGTGTTACAATCAGCCGTTCCGTTCTCCCTGTCGTCAACAGTGCAGCCGGCGCCCCCAAACTGAGGCTGGGGGTTGGTGCAGGTCCTCTTCCGGTGCTGGTTCATGGTCCCTCCTCCACACATGGCCGAACAGTCCCCGCCCTTCCACGCCCCCCAGTCCGACCACCCACCGTCAACTGGAATACGGCAAAAAGAATACGGTAATAACACTAGTAAGTGAATTGGGTTTTACTCCGCTTTTAGCAATATTTCAGCAATATCACGGCGGGGGACACCAAAAATGGGTTTCACACTTTGTACCCATGTGGGGAAACGAACCCGGGTCTTCAGCGTGACGAGCGAACGCTTTAACCACAAGGCTACCCAACCGCCCAGTAATAACACTAAGCCTGAGATAAACAACCTCGGCCATTCATGTATGTTTTTCTCCAGCCTCAAATTCAATAGGCGGCCAAAATGTGTCTAAATAACTGAGTGACGTTTTTGAGATTTATTTTAAAAATAGATCATTTGTTAATAAATTAAAGGCTGATGTAAATCAATTGGCTTCGACAACAATTTCAATAAAAGTAGATCAAGAAATAACCTGACCTGATTTGTCTGTTTCTTGAGTGTTCAAGCGTAAAAGTGTAACTATTCACATCAGATTAAGTATTTCCAATGGCGGAGAAAATTGTGTACTTTTTAATGTTGTGTATATAATTAAATATTTTATTCAAATTACCCATTTCGCGAACACCGGCTGTCATCAGTGATTTTTTAATGGTATATTTAATATACTTTTCACAGCCCTTTACCAAATGGAAACGGTTTCTGGGGATAGGGTATTCTTTTTGACTGATTTTTCATATTATCTCAAGCAACTTATTAATAAATATATGTATTTGAATGCCCGATACAGATGTTTGTATACACATGAACCTTCAACGTAAAATGAAAAACGATACGTGTATTTAACTTCTAACACGAAATATAACTGTTTAGGAGGAATATCAATTTACATATGAAAATATCAATTTTCTCCTTTCGACGTAGCGAACATTAACTTCAATCACCAATCTATCGAACGTCCCGTCAATATCTTTATTACAGTGATTACAGCGACCGTTACGACAACAACCATGAAGAAAGTAGGTGTACAGTAATATTTCCTTACGGTATAAATACCCGAGTTGTCTGTGATACTGTAATTCAAGAAGTATAATACTTGTAAATCATATTCCGCTCAAACTTAATCTGTCTTGTCATGGCAGATTACTATAGAAATATGAAAGGATGTGTTCTTTAACTAATTAACCCTACCACGGTTGTGCAAATTCTGATATGTGAAATAATAATAAAAAACTTCTCATCCAAATATAATATTTGTGGCAGTGGGAAAATGCAGTAATAATATAAAATGGTAATTCAAAATGAATGATCTTGAGAGTCAGGAATGTCAACTGCAGCTCATCATAATTTGACTATAGGGTTAAAAATATAGATGTGAAAATTACATGAATCCGCCACAGAATACCGTGGTGACACCACTTGTTCGTGAAACGGGTAAGCAGATCCAGCCCGTCACCCAAACACTTGCATAAAAATCTTTTTGTTAAAACCCAAAGATTGAAAATATCCTTCATAATGACATAAGTTCATACAAAACGGGGCGGTGGGGTAGTCAAGTGGTTAAAACGCTTCTTCGTCACACCGAAGGTCCGGGTTCAATTCCTCCATTGGTACAATGATTGAGGCTCACTCTGGTGTCCACCGCCGCGATGTTGCTTTAATATTGCAAAAAGCGGCGTAAAACCAAACTCACTCACACATACAAAACATAATACAGGGCGCTGTTTTAGTATTTTAGTTTTCTGCTTCTGGGGAAATTACCACACGATATCGGTAAAACTTAAAACGTAGTCCTAACGTGGACGACGTGCACTCACTAGGGCAAGGCTGTTCGTTACAGTCGGCGACGTCTACTTTACGGCATTCCCCTGAACACTTGCGTCCCCCATTACTGGGGGCTGGGGCGGTGCAGGTGCGGTCCATAGTGATCTCCTTCTCTCCCCCTCCACATGACACCGAGCACTGCGTCTCACTGGTGGCTGACCAGGATGACCACTGTCCATGGGCTGCAAGATCAACGTTATACCAAATATGACGTTTTAGTTATCGTGAATATTTAAGCTCATGTTCCATTTCTATACACAGATAAATTGTATTTTGTTTAAAATACAATGCATTGTTTTTACTTTTATTGAAAATTTGTATTACGGTGTATTTAAAAATACTGAAATATTGATGTTTCAGAGAAATAAAATATATGCATAAAATTTATTCGTTTGTTGTTTAATACCGCTCTCTGCAGTGTTCCAACTACATGACATCGGTCTGTAAATAATCGACTCTCGACCAGACAATCCAGTGATTGACATCATGAGCATAGACCTATGTGTGTTAACCAAGTCAGCGAACCTGACTCGATTCCGCTAAATGCATCTTGCGACAGACCAATTCTAACCCTAATCTTCACGGTTTTATGCATGAAAATATTCGTCACACAAATCTTCAGTGAAACTTACTGCAGTCCTTGTAGCGCACCTCCGTCTTGTACCTGAAAAGGATACATCCTATCAACACCAGAATGTTTCATAATGTTCATCATGATATCAGATTTCAACATGTTAAATACACGTCACCCCTCATCAATACGATGTTTGAACTGACAAAGATTGATATTCGTATTTCAATGTCTCTAATTCCAGGGGGCGTAGCTACCATTATAAAAAAAAGTCCAGGTTTACACATGATTGTTTGCTAAAAAGGTTGGGCAAGTCCTCAATATACTATCTAAATAAAAAGATTTGCAACCTATCGGACTTACACGAAACATTTAGGTTGCTACGCGCCTAAATTTATTCCGTTTTAGTTCTGTTTCTTCAAGTCAGTTGCGCAGTCCAATATTCACGTGTAGCTGTGGCATATTCAAAGAATAAACCCCTAATTTAACCATGTTGCACTGGCGACAGGACGCATAACAAAATACGCAACTGGCTCATTTCCGCACATGCGCAGACTATGAATGGAATAGATGCGTTAAATGATCGTTGCAAACTTTCACTGCTTAGTATGACTATTATGTATTGTTTAATCCGAATATCCACCTGTTAAGAAGATCAAATTTGTACTATATTGGTGAAGTTATGTGCCAGTATTGTTCGAAATTTCATAAGAAAACATATGGAAAAGAAATGGCCCCAGAAGGCTTCCACAGGTTTCCGTCACTACCGGTGGAACATTTACGAGAATACAAGAGAAACTGACTATTTGTTTCAGTGTTACGTGTTTGTTTAATGAGAATATTCATGGATATTTTGAAACAACAACTTATGCACAACTTACGCACCACTCCGAAAACGGTACAGGTAACTCCACATAATATTCATACCAATTTCTCTCAAGTAATACCACGTTACCACATAGGTTAAGTGCTAAGCTATTCAATATTATCGAGAACATTACACATTGACGTTGACATTAGATTATGATGATGATGATGAGGAGGAGGAGGAGGAGGAGGAGGAGGAGGAGGAGGAGGATGGCGAGTTACCTGTAGCTCCAACACCTGCCCCAGCTGTACCAGCCACACCTGGTCTTGTACGCTTCCAGATAGTACTGTACGTAGGAACACCTGTATAAAACAACGACACGGGGTTAAGGACCTGTCAAAAGCGAAGTTGGTAAAATGCGGCTGGTAAAATAACTGTACCTTCATTGAATGAATACTGAATGGAACCACTATAATTACTGTATCAACATACCGGGTATGCACTCATTCTGAATGAATGTCTGTTTGTCTGTTAGACGTTCAGTCAATATACAAATATTGTTTATAACATAAACGTCTATTGCTAAGTAAATGTCTGCAGTCATCCCAGGCACACTAATGTTTAGAGATGCTGAAATGGTTAGAATAACAGGGGAGTAAAACGTATACGTCTTTCGTGAGAAAAAAAGCATTTCCGATTCCTCAGCTTGGCATCCTATCTGACACGTGAAGATCATGTTGGAATTGATCTTCAGTAGCCCATGCTTGTAAGTGGCGACTAACGGGACCGGATGGTCTGACTTCATATCCCAATTGAGTAGACCGATGCTCATGCTGTTGATCCTTGGATTGTCTGGTCGATTATTTACAGACCACCGCTAAATAGCTGGAATATTGCTGAGTGCGGCGTAAAACTAAACTCATTCACTCACTTGACATCTTACCTGACATTGGTTTGTGTTAACTGTGACGGTTGCCTATCTGCTTTCCGCTGTAGTGAGTGAGTAAGTATGGTTTTATTCCAGCATTATCACGGCGGGTGACACCACAAATGAACTTCGCACGTCATACCCATGTGGGGAATCAAACCTGAGTCTTCAGCGTGACAAGCGAACGTTTTAACCACTAGGCTACCCCACCGTCCCTTTATCTGATTCAGAACAAAGTCTGAAGTTGTCATATACGTCCCTCAATTATAACATTTAGTCATTTTGATACAACCTTTAGGTGAATATATGACAATAATGCGTAAAATATCAATCCTCACTGGCTCACCACATATTTATTATAGTATAGTCTTCTATCCTTCTTAATGAAGTGAGTGGCGGTGGGGTAGCCTAGGGGTTAAAGCGTTAGTTCGTCACGCCGAAGACCCGGGTTGGAATCCCCACAAGGGTACAATGTGTGAAGCCCATTTCTGGTGTTCCCCGCCGTGATGTTGCTGGAAAATTGCTAAAAGCGGCGTAAAACCAAACTCAGTCAGTCAGTCAGTCTTAATGAAGTGAACATTTGTAACAAAGCCAGATGTAAATACGACAATTAACCATCTGGTTACCCCACCGCCCCGCTTTCATTATGAACTGTGCCATGAATTTTCACCGCTCTTTTGATTTTATTGCTAAAAGAACCCGTTGCGGTGGATAACCAAGACTGATTAATTTCTGGTCTTGGCGTTTTATGTTAGAGAATTCTGACTGTACCTCTTCTCTCCCTATAAGCGTGACTCAATTCTCACTGATACGCGTGACTCGAATACGGACAGGCGTGCGTGACATGGCTTCAATATTGCGACCGTAAAACAACATTTACTCACATACACAGAAACAATTCCATAGAAGAGTGATGTAAACAGCAACATACCTGTCTGCAGCAGAGACGTGGCCGGCTGCAACAGCCACCAGGAGCACGGCAGACACTACGACGATGTTCATTGTGAAAGGCCTCCACCAATGTACCTATCTCTTGCATTGCAAACTGTCCTTTTATAAACGAGGTAATTGCCAACCAGAGTATTGAATTCTGCTGACATATCTTCGAACTCATGTCCTTCTGACAAATGTCTATATTTTGCATGAGAGATATGTATTAATGCTCTCTGTGTTGTCTTTGATAGGGAGATCTATTTCGAAAGGTCTTGATGATCGGCCATCCTGTCCGCCATGTCTTCACTCCGCACCAACGAATAGGTATAATAGCGTCATGGGAATTGACACAGATATGACTGTGGGCCAATCATGTTCCTCGCTCCGTTGAACCCATCTTCTACAGACATTGAACAAAGACGATCACAGTAATATGATAAAGAGAATGAACAATATAAGCCGTTAGAGGAATATTATTTCCAAAACAAACATTTTCTGATATGTTCCATGGGACAAAGTCACACATTTCAGTCATAGTTCGCGTCCATATGCCCTTACATATTCATATGTAATTTGTTTTGTGTAAAACCCATACGGTGGTGGCTCATTTCTGCTGACGTCATAATGAAGAACTGTTTAAAGATTGTTTTACAGCAAATATCATTTATTATATCTATACTATATACTACTACATAATTTATGCTACTGCTATTTGAGGATACGAACGTGTAGGATGAAGTTTTAAAAAATTGTTTCTTTGCTGAAGTGAGTAACTCAAAAAGACAAATACAACGTATTCCAATTGAAACTAGCAAATCTCTGCGAACTAAATATTTTTGTCAAGCAATTCAGGATAAAGCTAAACCAGAAGCGCCTCTAATCCAATGGTTTATGTACACATATACTATATCGTTGAAACAACACGAAGTATGTTTAAATGATATGATAAAATAGTCAAATCTCTTATTTTGCAATACTGAAGAGGCCACAGACCTATAGTTCAACGTCAGATAACAATAATGGCATACAATCTGATTTGACTGGATTAAATAGCAGACATAACTTGGAACAGCTAGCATGGCGGAGTTCTAATGCCTTAAAGTCGAGTCAGGTTCAAGAAGGTTTGAAATGCTATCATGAGGTGCTATCAAGCAGATGTCAGTATGACAAACGATTTAGAAAAAGTCAGAATCGTAGATGACCTCCACCGATTCAGTCTTTACCTCGTAGTTGTAGATCGGCTGGTCAAGCGTCTGTGTCGTCGTAAGGAGACGTGAGTTTCAGATGTTTAGTTAAGGATAAAAAACGAATTTAGCTTAACTTTACTTTAAGGTGAAGATGCCGCGATCCTTCATCACCACACCATACAAACGACAGTAGGTGAGTATTCCTCCATATTTAGAGTGCTTCCATGCATAGCCAAAGGCCTGATTTATTTCCCTTAGTTGGACCGTCCTATTCCCAACAGCCCTGACAGCATAAAACTATAGAAAGAAAAGGGTGTCGTAACTACTGAAAGGCGAGCGGGTAACTTTATCTTTCAAACACTCAACCTCCCCATGAGCAATATTCCACCAGCCTCAACACCCGTTGTCCTCTTTTTACAATAGGTCCTGTAGGTCTCGCGGGCGCTACTTCCGGTACTAAGCTGGTTCCAGGTTCCCTTTGCGTGCGCCAACTTGCGTCATGAGAGACGGGACCCAGCTTACTTCCGGTACCAGATTTCCGGTGACAAGCCTATATTCAAGAACCAGTTCTGGTCCCAAATTGCGTGACCGCCTAATATATGACTTTACTAGACCGGACCAAGTGTACAACCATGACAGCCTACAAGGATTATCGGTTCCCTCCTGTCAACTGACAACCATGAGGCCATTTGAAAAGGTATGAAACGTTGTTTGTAACCGGAAGTACCACTTGGGAAGTGCCGTGACTTACTTACGGGCCCTGTTTATCTTAACTCACTTAGGTGTTGTTGACAGAAACGTTCACACGCCATCTTCAAGAGTATGGAAATGTTTGCTTAGTCTGCTTGCGGTCTGACTGGTTGAGACACTACACATATATGTTTAATCTTAAACCAACTATCCACGATCCGTTGACATGAACTAGTATCCGTTATATTTCAGATGGGGCAATGTTTTACTCATTCCACTGAACAAATATTGTTCTACCACGCTAAAAGCATATTATCTGAAGTCGATCCTTCTGTATTTGAACCAGTGCCATAACGGGATCGGGTGGCCAGGCTCGCTGACTTGGTTGACAAATGTCATCGTATCCCAATTGCGTAGATCGATGATCACTGGATTGTCTGGTCCAAACTCGACTATTTACAGCCCGCCGCCATATGGCTTGAATATTGCAGAGTATGGTGTCTATCAAACGGCATTGCACAACCCATTCCGCCTTCTCACAGTAGCCAATCAGATAAGCCGTTGCAACCGAGCTTGCCAGTGCGCAGATAGTGGACGCAGTCGTGAAGGTTTGCTCGCTATGCGACTCAGATTTAGGGGAAAAACTCATACAGATAATTTGACATGTCTGAAACCTTAAATAATATATGCAAGAACTCCTTCTATCACTTCCAGAGTACCTCTGCAACAATTGTGTTGCCAAGTTTAATGGTTAGATAAAAGAAGCGAAAGTGAGTTGTGATTGGTACGCTCAACTTCCCAGCGTAGACACCTGATTGGATAAAAAGCCGGCCAACGGAGGTAATAAAATCATGGGACCGAGCCGTAGATGCATTCAGGGTATAGTGGAGATTTTTCGTAATGTATACCCTAGAGATTATCGAGGATGAGTCAGTGGTTGCCTGGCCCAATCTTTGAAAACGTTTAGGTAAAAAAAAACCTTTAATGAGTATTTTCGAAGTTTGTTCAACATACATAAAATAACGTCCATGCAGACCTCGGACTGCTAAAATTGTCCTCTGCTATGCCCCTCTGCCCATCACATATTGCAAAGTTCATACCTATCTAATATGCCATTGTGTTTAGCAATTGGGAAGGCTTGTCACTTTCTAAACAATCTAGCCACCATTCGTTACAGAGATGAAATCCTGAACGTCACCTCCTTCCAGAGACAGATATTCCTGCAGGATAACGCTGGATCCCATACAATATGCATCAAAATGAACTTCTTCACCAAACAGAACATTACAGTGCTTCCCTGGCCCTCTAAATCCCCTGATTTGAACCCAATCGAACACCAACCACGACAAGCATTGCAGACTGAATGAACTAAAATACCAAGGGCTCGGATCCGAACACTTATTCAGTCTATACCCAGGAGATGCCCAGCAGTGCAAACGGAGGTCACAACCCGTACTGACCTTAAAGCCGACGTCCAGTGCAGCGTTGATGTTGTGGTGACATGAACTTACATTCATTTGGCGCAACTACCCAATGACCCTCATCATGCAAAGGTTGAAAGCTGTGTGATTTTAATTTACTTTGTTGTTGTTACTCAAAATAAAGAATTTTTTCCCTAGATTTACCTCCGTGCGTTTCATTTTGAGAGTGTATAAAAAACCCTTACCTAAACAATTCTAATACCTTCCCCGCCAAATCTGGTAGAAATCACAAATTCCCATAGACACAACAGGTAGTTAGGAATATGTACCACGGTGATGTGTTGTCTCAAACTGTGGAGCCCCGTTTATATGGACCCTAGATATACGAAAACTTTGCTTACCGGAAACAGTTTACATGAAACGAAATACACACAACATAAAATACTACATTTATCAGGAAATCCGCTTTCCCAGGTAAATTTCAACCACAAACAATTATCTTAACCACTATATCCCGACTGAATCGGACTTTGTCTCCAACCTTCTGGATACTAGAGTAAATTATTTTCAATCATTAATGTTTGTGGATCTCAGTGGATTTTGTTTCACAATATTCACACAAACGAGTTATGTTAACAAAACTAACACATTCGTCCATAGGATATGTGCGATGTGTTAGATGCAAGTGTGTTCTCTCTCTCGATCCGATCCGATGCTTAATATGGGCAATTTGTTCGCCCGATGACGGACATATGCTGCTACAAACTGTTTCGACCAAACAAAGTGTACTGTGCCTCTTCCGATCCGAGGGGCGGTGGGGTAGCCTAGTGGTTAAAGCGTTCGCTCGTCACGCCGAAGACCCGGGTTCGATTCCCCACATGGGTACAATGTGTGAAGCCCATTTCTGGTGTCCCCCGCCGTGATATTGCTGGAATATTGCTAAAAGCGGCGTAAAACCATACTCACTCACTCACTAACTCTTCCGATCCGAGATGTCCTTGCGGATCCGACATTAGAGATTTACCACGAACCTGGTAGAGGGATCCGATTTTACCGTTTGGACTGACTGTTACGATTGCACGCCATGGTTAACTAAGCCAGCAAAATTTATATCGTCAGACTCACCTGACAGGCTGTTGAGCCATTATGTCGCTCACAACTAAACACTAGCACTCCACTGTCGTGTCAGTTGTTTTCGCAATAACGTTCTCCAGGAAATCACGCTCATCCCTCGCTAGCAGCAAATACATATACACTGTATCAAATCAATGCCCGCTGGTTAAAGATATTCCGTTGACCGATGAGCGAAGCGTCACTTCTCTCATGACTTATGATTTCGTTTCTGACAGCGGGTGTTGCGACTCGGCTGTTCATATTTTCGGATCACAGCCGTCGACCTGCATATGAATGAATGCTGTTGAAAATGTCTCGTATAAGTACTGTTGATTGTATAGTAAAAAACTAGTCGACTACGTTGAATTGCCCCTTTGACCCAGAATTAATTTTACAGTTTTAGGATTATTGAACTGTTTCATATTTTCAAGGAACAACCTGCACCATTGGTGGTTATGTAGTACTGGGAATACATGAAGAGCTTTTGTTTGACGACCCAAACACGATTCCATCTCAACTGGGGGTAACCGTATCTCGCAATACGTTCGTCACTTAGTATCAGTTGTTTTATGTCGTGTCAACTAAACACCCGCATTTATCTATATTTCGTGAAGTGAAATAAACATTTGTCCAATTATTGAATTGTACCAGTATAAAC